GAGACCCCGCACAGGCACCCGAGCCCCCGCACAGGCACCCGAGCCCCTGCACAGCCTCCTCAGACCCCACACAGCCCACCTAAACCCGCACAGGCACCCGAGACCCTGCACAGCCTCCTCAGACCCCACACAGCCTCCCAAAACCCGCACAGGCACCCGAGACCCTGCACAGCCACCTGAGAACCCACACAGCCTCCTGAGACCCCGCACAGGCACCCGAGACCCTGCACAGCCACTGGAGACACCGCACAGCCACTGGAGACACCGCACAGCCACTGGAGACCCCGCACAGCCTCCCAAAACCCCGCACAGGCACCTGAGACCCTGCACAGCCACTGGAGACCCCGCACAGCCTCCCAAAACCCCGCACAGGAACCTGAGATCCGCAGCCACTTGATACCCTGCATAGCCACCTAAGACCTCGCATAGCCTCCTGAGACCCTGCACAGCTTTCTAAGACCCCCGCACAACCTCCCTGAGACCCCCATGGAGGCTCAGCATCACATGTGGCCATTATCTAGGGCAGTCTGACTAGCTTAGGAACGCCCACTCCTCCAGAGCAACACACGCCCACAAAGGCATTTTGATATTTGCATAACCCCTCCCAAGAGCCAACCCACTGTTTACATCGGGGCTCCTGAGAGGAGTACTGAGGCAGGGGGCGCTGTGATGATTTCAGGAAGCTATGTACAGCACCCTGCCAGCCCTTATCCCCTGGCATGACCTGCCTGCATTGCATAGAGAAGCGCAGGGACCCTGTGATGACATCGCTGGGTCCGAAATAAAGTATGTCATGAAAACAGAAAAGATGATCATGCTGATGACGGGGGAGGGGAGGGACGGAAAAATAGAAGCAGATTAAACTTCAGCTTCAGGCCAGTGTCCAGATCATTTTTTATAAAACTAAATACACCCCACGTGCAGCCATGTTGAAGAATGCTATGCAGCACCCAGGCACGGCGCAGCATCTACAACCCCCGACATTGTTCTATAATGCCAGGGACAATGCAGGTCCCAGTACCAGGTGAAACTATATCAGAGAGGAGCACACGGGAGGATTTTTGCCTCTTCTTCTGTATTTATATGATAAAATGGAATTCAGCATCACTGACTTTGTCCTTTGTCGTTCATGTGGCGCTGTCCCCTGACACAATCATCCCGTCCCCGGGTACAATAAGGGTCATTGAGGCCCCTGACGTGACGTTCCTTGCACTAAGTAATAACCGATTGTCTTCCCCTTGTTGTGTCCCCAGATCCGGTCACCTCCAGTCCGACAGAATACGTCCGCTCCTGGCGGGGGATGCTGTGAGAAGCCGGCGAGAGCAAAATACAGACATCATTTTTTTTCTTCTGAGTGGAAAGGTAAAAATTGATTATTATTGATTGATTGTTATGTATTGATTGTTATGTATTGATTGTTATGTATTGATTGTTATTGATTGATTGCTTGTTATTGATTGATTGCTTGTTATTGATTGATTGCTTGTTATTGATTGATTGATTGTTATTGATTGATTGATTGTTATTGATTGATCGTGTTATTAGCAGATCGCAGGGATTGTGTTTGTGACAATTTAGAAAATTCGGCATTTGTTGTCTTTATTCTATCACATGGGCGTGCACACCCCTGAAGGGACCTACTCCCCGGTGTTCTATCGAAAGCTCCAACTCGTCGAAATCTCCAACTACCTCACTGCCGGGTACCTGCAAGACCTGCTCCCCGGTGTTCTATCGAAAGCTACAACTCGTTGAAATCTCCAACTACCTCACTGCCGGGTACTTGCAAGACCTGCTCCCCGGTGTTCTATCGAAAGCTCCAACTCGTCGAAATCTCCAACTACCTCACTGCCAGGTACTTTGCATTTTCGACCAGACGGCGTTAGACTGCAAAACACAAAAGACTGGCTGAGCTTCTGTACAGCTGCATT